GTCACGGCGGGGACCGCCGCGAGTCGCGGATGGACAGAGCCCCCCTCCAGCAGAGCGTGGCTCAGCGGAGACGACCTCGGGCCCAAAGCTGGCGGGCGCAAGCCTGGAAGCCGACCGCCGCGGCGCCCTCTCGAGAACCGACGACGGACAAGTCACTGACCGACGTGTCAGGGTGGGGGTTCTGTCCACCCCCGATCGAACGACGGGTCAGGATGGACCCCGCGAGGGCCCCGGGGACCGACCTTGAGCAGCAGACTTGCAGAAAGGGGCCCATTGACACACACACACACAAAAAAAAAAATCAAAAAAACAAATATTGATACAAATCCCAGGATCTCCCACAATTTCCTATGTTTTCTGGATTTTCGTCTTCCCTCCCACCTTCATGCTTTCCCATCTTTTCACCAGAATCGACGATTAATTGTGTCTGCGTGTGTCTGCGTGTGTATGTGTGTATGCGTGTGTCTGTGTGTGTGTGTGCGTGTGTGTGTGTGTGTCTTTGTGTGCGTGTGTGTGTGTGTGTGTGTGTGTGTGTGTGTGTGTGTGTGTGTGTGTGTGTGTGTGTGTGTGTGTGTGTGTGTGTGTGTGTGTGTGATTTTTCCCCCTCCTGGATTTGGGCTGGGCGGGCGAGGGGGGCGGCCGCTGTCTCAACCTGGCCTTCTCCGAGTGTTATTCCCGTCCCCTCCTCCCCAGAGCAGAAGAGCGGCACTTAGCATTAACTTTCGGAACATGCGCGTGCTTCTTGGGCCGGGCACCCCTCCCTCACATACCACCGCCGACACCTCTTCCTCATCCTCCCTCCTCCACCTTCCTCATCCGCCTCATCCCCGCGGCTCCCTGAGGAGGCGCAGGGATGAGGGATCCAGACGATCTGGTGGTCTGGTCATTAGAAGTAGCCTCTGGCGTGAACAAACATTGCACGGCAGGATGTGTTTTTTTTTCCACGGCAACCGAAGCCAAGCGCCAAAGCTAGCCCCGCACAAACGGAACCAACACAAAACAGGCGATCAAAGACAAGGAAAAGACTAGCGAAACGAAAACGGCGTTGAAACTGTTAAGCCGCATTTCCGCATCCAAGTAGGAAGAGGAGGAGGAGAGGGACAGGGGGAGGCCGAAGAGGAGCCAGGAGGGGAATTAACTAAACCAGGCCTCAAATCGAGGATAGGCCGGTACATCCAAAATGGCGCACTGACTGCTGCAGGGCCAGCTAGGGAGGACAAATCCTGCCCCCTGCTGAAGACAGCGGCGATCAAATGCAAATAGCAAGACAAGGCTACAGTGCGTTGGGTGCAAAAGTTCGCCAACTCATAAAACCCAAAGGCGATGAAAATGGTGATGCTAAAAGGTGTCGCCCCGCCCCAACACCCTTTGGCGCAGTGGGCGCGCAGGCCAAGAAACGGCAAATGGGGCAAACCCAGAGCATCGGGGCCCTGGGGTTGGCCGACCGCGGTCGCAAGACCGTGATCGTGCGCCGATCGCGCATGCAGCCGGCGAGAATCGCCAATTCCCTCGCTAAGGGGACGGGAGAGTGGAAGAGGGAGGGAGGCAGAGGCGGAGAGGGGCCGACTACACAATTTCGACACCGAGGGCGAACAAATTCGATACCCTTGCACAACACTCCCGGCCGAGACTGGAAGAAACACACCGCGAAACGGGGTGTGAGAGGCGACCCTGTCCCGGCCGCGTGGCCGAAGGTACTGGCGCGCGATCGCCGCGCGCTCTGGTCTCGGCCTGGCCCAGGTCCACAACGCAGCACTGCGAACCAGAGAAGGCGGAGGGGGAGACGGAGGAGGAGGAAAGGAGGAGGGACAGCCTGAGCGTGTGAAAAGTGAAGCCGTCACGACAACCCGCCGTCGTCGGCGTCGAGTTGCTCGCACCAGTCCGCCGCCAGCACCTCGCGCAGCTGGACCCGCAGCGCCCGGAGCATCGAGGCTGGCCCCAGACGAGGTCCAGGGTGGTGTCGCCACCAACCGTGGAGCTTGTATGTGGCGGTCGTGAGCAAGGCCCGCCGCAGCACGTCGTGGTGATGTGCAACCGGCTGCGCCCGCAGGACGCCCAAGAAGCCCGCCAGGCGGTCCTCCGGCGGAAGCGGCTGCACCCAGAGGTCAGAAGTGCCAAACGCTAAGATGTGCTTGCAAGTGGCGTAGTGCTGGATCGAGTCTTCATGGCCACAACCCATCATACACGTAGCGTGGCGATTCTGCATGCGCCTCCCTGACACCCAACAGTTGGTGAAGGTGCGAAGCATTGCGGCGACCACCCTCGGCTGAGCATGCCCCCGCAACCAGTTGACTGTGGACAGGAAGCGGTCGACTCGACGGCCCGGGAGGACATTCAACCGCCAGCGGTCAGCTATTCTCCGGAGTATTGGATGAAGTTCAGCGACCCTGGGGGCGAGGGTGAGTTGGGCGCGAACCGCAGCTCTCTGTAATCCTCGCTGAACCCGACGTGCTGCTGGCCGTGTCCATGGCCGGGGCCCGCCCAACTCGTGTTCCAGAGAGGCGACGGTGATGCCGCGTACTCTGAGGTCCTCAACAGCCTGCGAGAGGGTGTGCAAGATGCTGCCGTCAAACCGCGTACGCCACTGGGCAACCCGGATGACCCTGTCCGTGTTGCTTTCCAGCAGGCGAAGTGCTCGCGCCCGCGCCTGGACCCGGAGCCCGCCCGTGGTTCCCGCCTCCCGTGCGGCGATCCGGAGCTTCGCCGCCTTGGCCATGAATACCACGCTTGCGAAGGACTTCGGCATTCCAGTCAGGTCCAAGTACGGCAACAGCAACAGCAGGGAGCCGTTGCCAGGGCAGCGAACCAAGTTCTTCATGCACTGGGCCTCTTGGTCTTCCCATCCTGGCGGGAGATCCTCCAGCTGTGCAAGGTAGGACAGGACAGGCATTATGTAGACCGAGTACGCGAGCACGGCGACGTGCAAACCGCCTCCAGCCTGGCCCCAGAAAGATGATCGCTCCAGAAACTTCCGCATCGGTTTCTCCCAAGACTTGGTCGCCCGTCCTGGGCCCAGGTGTACCCCAAGGTACTTTGCGGAGTCGTCAAAATGCATCCTCCCCCATTGCGGCACCTCCTGCTGCACCGTGCGCCGGGCTAGTGCTGAGTTCGGCTCACTGAGGTCCACCCAGACGCACTTGTCCATGTTCAGCTCCAGGCCTGATATGGTGGCGTAATCCGCCAGGAGAGACGCCAATGGCGGTGCCGACTCGCGCCAGGCCTGGAGGACCAAGGCAATGTCGTCGGCGTACGCCCTGATGAGAACACCCGGGGCCGTGCGTCGAATGCGGCGCAGCAACAAGTCGGCCACGATCGCAAAGAGAACTGGGGAAAGCGGGCAACCCTGTCTGATCCCGCTCTCGACGTAGAAGCCCGCGTGCCGCCCTCCCCCCACCGCCAGCCAACGCCAGTTGTTGTGGTATAGCGTCGTGATCATATTGAGCAGTTCTGCGGGGAGGCCCAGGTGAGCCAGAGTGGAGAGCATGAACGACCTCGTGACGCTCGGGAAAGCAGCGCGGAAGTCGAGGAAGACTGCGCTTCCTGCATCCTCTGTGAGGGCCACCTCCATCATGCGCTCGTCGACCGCCAGGATGTTGCTGATCATCGACCGGCCTGGCAGAAAGCCTTGCTGTTCCTGCGAGACCCAAAGAGCGACGCACTTCTCCAGCTGGAGCCGCACTGCGTTGGCCAGGATCCGACTGTCCCCGTTGGCGATGCTGAGGGGGCGCGTGGCGTCGAGCGTGCACCCCAGCCGCTCCCCGCCCTCCAACGGCGTGCCAACTTTCGGCAAGAAGACCATGAGTGCATCGTTGAAGGCCGGGCAGTCCCGGGCGACAATCTCCGGGCCGTCGCCAGACATCATATCGCAAAGGACCGCCTCAAGAACATCCCCGCCCAGGGGCCCGAGCGCCTGCCACGCGGCGAGCGGGGGCCCGTCTGGCCCCGGCGCTGACTTCGGTGCTTCTTTGATGGCCTTGTTAAGGTCTTCACGTGAAGGCAGCCACTCTTCCCGGCGAAGGCGACGAAGAATGCCGAGCTGCGCGGGGCCAAGGTCTTCAGTGCACCATCGTTGGAGAGCGTTTTCGTCGTGTTGTCGACGCCTGAGTGCCCCTTGCCAGTGCGAGCGCAGGGCTTGCGCCATGCCCTCCGGGTCCGTCAGCATTTCCCCGTGGCGGTCCACGACGCCTCCCAGGGCAGCCGAGCGGCCCGGGGCCAACCGCTTGAGCAACTGCATGACCCTGTTGCGGCGGCGCTGGAGCAACTCGAAATCTGGCTCGTCGACGGCCGGGCCCCCCTCGGCAGCTTGCACTTCCCGTAGTTGCTGCAAGGCCGAGCCTCGGGCCAGCTCCACCGCGTGCGCCTGGATGGCCTCCAGCGGGCGGCCGAGCATGGAGTTCAGCTTGGGGTGCGCCTGGCATCAGCGGCGGACCGTTCCCACCGCCCCCCGCTCCAGCGCTCGGATACACCTCAAGGTCCAACCAAGATGATCATCGATGTCTGTCGTCTCAGACACCTGGTGCTGCCTCTCGCTGCCCATCGTGTCGGAGATAATCCTCATCGCCTCCTTCAGGACACGGAGGCGGGCGAAGCCAGAAAGGCACGACGAGGGAGTAGCCAGGAGGGACTCGGAATCCTGGGGGACGGACGCCCCGCTGAGGTCCGCCGTATGCTTCAACTCCGCCTGCCGCAGGAGCGCCTGGTACAATGCTGCCACCCGTGCGCCCCAGGCAGGTTCTCGAATCAGCGCCGCCGGAACCGGACGAGGCTGGCCCGAGGTTGGCTGCGCCCGCCGGCGGCCGAAGGCAACAGCGCGATGATGTGACAGATGCGGCGCCCAGGACAGCGGGGCGCAGTGCAGGGTCGTGTCCAACTGGGTGGACACATGCGCATTCCAGTAGACCCTGTCGATCCTCGATCGGCACCCAGCGTCGTCATGAGTGGCCTGCGTCTGGTGGAGCTCGTGGAGGCCGTGCCTCCTACACAGCCCCTCCTGCCAGTGATCTTCATCGGCCTTATCCCTGACGCTCGCGTGCAGGATGGGGTCGTGAAGACGGTCGTCCTTCGAGGTCCGGTCCGCCCCCTCCACCACTGAGCTGCCGCTGCCTTTTCACCTGCATGTTGGCCTCCTCGTCCGTCGCAGCATGCACGAGGCCGCGGGTGCCGGTGGCAAAATAAACCGTCCAAATGTCGAGCGCACCGGGGGGGCCTCGTAGTCGAAGTACAGCGGCACGCCCTGGGACGGCCTCCTCCCAGACTGGGTCCGGGTCGAATTGCCGCAGGAAGCTGTCGCGGAGGATGATGCCCACGCCCGCCCTGGCAGAGGTGCCTGTCGACCACATCGCCGTGAAGCCCGGCGACGGCCGCCAGGCGGCCTTGTCGCCGTCCGTCACATGCGCCTCGGAGAGCAGCGCGAAGTCGCGTCCACGAAATAATCGCATCACATATTTGGCCTTCGCGAAGTGCTTCCTGACGTCCACTGCGAAGAATGCCTGGGAGTTCCAAGCGGCTCCCACTAGCGAGCCGTGGTACGGACCGTCATGCCTATGAACTGGGCTTGTGGCCGAAGCTCCGGATCGAGGCGGTGGCGTGGCAGGTGCTGGCGCCTGAGCCTCATGCCCCGGAGGGGGCGAAGCCCGCTGGCGCTTAATCCGCGGGGCCGGCGCTGCAGGCGGCAGACTGGGTAGCTGGCACGCTCGCTGGACGGCCGCCCGAATGGCGACGCAGTGAGGAATATCTTGATGCTCCCCGGCCACAGGGAGCTGCAGAGGCACCACCTGAGAAGGGCATGGAATCAAATTATCTGCGCACGGCGCGCCTGAAGCGGAAGATGAAGAGGAAGAAGAAGTAACCGCCTGAGCCGTTGATGCCCTCCCCGGTGTAGTTGTAGATGCAGTCCCAAGTGTAGTCGCAGATGAAGTCCCAAGCGAAGTTGAGGATGAATTCGCATGCAATGCAATCCGGCGGCAGGAGAGCACGACATCCAGACACCAAGAGGTGATGCCGTGCTCGTCGATGACTCGCGTTGCCACCGGGCCCAGGCTCGCCGCGGACAGTCGCGGCGAGCTGTGCCGACTCATGCCCGCGAGGCGGGGGGTCGGCGCCCCCCCCCGCGGATGCCGTTTTTTGCAGCAGCCGCCGTGTTGAGCAGGCCGTTGCCTTCCAGGTCCTGCAAGTCCGTCGTGCACTCCAGGCTGACCAAATCGGCCCCCAACTGGATCGCTCGTCCGTGCACCGCCTGCGTGAACCTGCGCGCTTGGTCGTCGGTGTCAAGATGCACGCGCACTCTCCCTGTAGCCGCGGCCGGGTTCTCCTTCGCCAGCCACGTCCAAGTAGGGCCAGTGGGCTGTGGCCCCACGTCGGACTCCGTCAGCGCCAGCCCGGAGTGGTGGCCGAGAACTTCCATCAGCTTCTGCACGACGGCCTGCGGATTCGCCCCCATGTGGCCAAGAACCTTGACCTCGGCATCCGGCTTGACCAATCCTACCACTCCCCTGCCTTTCCGGGCTTCCCGGCGAACCGCCGCCAGCTGCTGAGGCGACGCCGACGGGTAAGCCCATGGACGTCCACCCTGCGTACGGTTGGAGGGCCGCCAGCGGAGTCGCAGGAGCGCCACCTCTGGATCCTCCTGCAAGATGTGGTTCATGATTGTCTTCCACTGGTCCGCACTCCCCTCCACGATGGCCAACGCCCGGTCTGAGGTGTAGGCCAGGAGCTCTTTGCAGTGCGGCCAGGCCTTGCCGAACGCCTCCGGCCCCGTGACCTCGAGGATATGGCAGCCAGGGTCGGTGTAGAGATGCTGGCCGCCGATGTGCACCGACTGCGCCAGACGATCCGCCCGGCGAGTCCGCAGATGACGCATATGCAAGTCGATGTCGAGACGGGAGACACCTGTCGGGAAGTGGATGGGGATCCGGATCCGAGGGGCCGTCTTGAGGTGAACAGGGCTTCTCTCCGAGTCCCCCAGGGTCGCTCGAAGCGGGGCGAGCCCTCGCCGCAGCGTCGCCAACGTGGTCGTGACGTCCTCCATCGCCATGTCCGCGTAGTAGGTCTCGCCCAACTCCATGGTGAATAACGGGGCCGCCTCAACGAAAAGCTTCGGGAGCGAGACGGTGCCCTTGCCGGCGACTGTGGCGATGATGAGGCCGTGATTGCCGACCACGGGCCCTGCCGAGCCCGTGGACACCATCTGCAATGGCCGGGGCAACAACTCGATCGACTTGACCAGGCCAGCCCATTGAGGGCCCATGAGCGGGCTCCAACACATGTCCATGAGCGAGTCCACATCGGAACAACCCTGGAAGGTGGGAGTGGTGGACAAAAGTCGGCATCGGAAGTCTGGAACATCCCCGCAGTGACGCAGCAGAGCCGAACGGAGTCGACCGAGGGCTGCCGCGTCCGTGGGCGCCCACAGTACGGCGCCGCAGGGCAGACCCTGCAGAGTCGCCACGTCGCCCGCGTACAGCTTGGATGTCGTTTCCCGGTCCTGCTGCACCTTGGCTTCCGTCGAGCCGGTGGCCGTCAGCACGCGAGACAGCTGGGTGAGGCACTGCTCCCCTGGTGCTCCACCCGGGGGGCAGAGCAGGTCGAGGGCAACCGGGCCCAGCTCCATGTAGAGGGGCACAAGCCTCTGCTTGTGCCGCCGGCGCGCTTGGAGCAAGTTCGGGAGGGCCGTCAGGCAGGCCTCGCGGGCTGCCTCATATCGTAGCTTCGCAGCCCCGACCGCCTCCATATCACTCGCTGTCCAGGTGGGGCCCGTTGCTATGTCGAGAAGCTGGGCGGCCCAATCCGCGCTGCGAACGATGTCCTTCGCAGTGGGCTCCATCCCTTCCAGTGCCAGCCGGCCGAGGCGACGCCAGACATCAGGCTCGTCAGGGTCGAGCCCGACTTGCCGGAGAAGGCCATGCAGATCGTCCCAAGCGTGCAACTCCGAGCGAAGACGGAGAGGGGTAGCCGAAGGGCCCGTCGCTGCCTGGGCCTGCAGCAGCTCGAAGTGGTGCAGAATGATCGTCTCGCAGTGCCTGGCGAACATGTCGTTGCTGCTCGTGATGTCGTCGTCGTCGTCGACGTCGTCAATCTCGATGGCGCCCAACGCAACTGACGCAGTGTCCAGCTCGATCTGCCGCATCTCCTGTGTCAGGCCGGTGTGGCTCTGCTGGGGCTCAGGAGGAGGCAGTCCTGGCGGCACCGGTGCATTCGCCAGCGCGGCGCCCCCGGCACGCGCCCCCGGAGTGGCCCCGCCCGCCGCTGCTGGTGCGAGGGTGGCTGCGAAGCGACTGCCGGGCAGCCCCTGCCCGCAGCGCCGGCAGCGGCCCAGCTCATCGGCCGATGCGGGCAGTGCGCCGAATAGCGGGCATGCCGCATGAGTGCACGCCATCGCAAGCAGAGAGGGGAGTCTGACAGAAAAGGAGTGTGCTGGGAAGAGCCTGAATGCGCCCTATGCGCGGGCACTCGGGGCCGGCCCAATTGAGCCGGATGTTTTACTTGAGCCAGCACGGCAGGATGTGTATGTTACGGAATATCTCTGTGAGGAGGGCGAGTAGGCAACCACGCCCAAAACCCTACCACTGCAGGCCGCCCGATTTCTGAGACAGACGCTGGAGCTCAAGATCCGAGGGATGTCTGCAACCAAAATGCAACCCAGCGTACCTGGCGGGGGTGTCCGACGCCCCAGGGCCACATGGACCTGCAGGAGTACGGTAGGCATCTAAGGTAAAGCATCTTGATCCAGGACGTCTAGAGCTGCACTCTCCGTTGACACCCGCACTTCCTGAGGTATCCCGAGTAGGCTTCGATGGGTCCCCTTTACTGGCGCCCGTGGGGCGCCGGCTGGCGGGCTGGCTTCCTATCTGGCGTGCCCGCTGCAGCTTCGGGCGCCTCGGGGAAGCTCGCTGGCTGGCGCCGATGCCGCTGCTCCCCGGACCTCTCCCAGGGCGCGTTCTGACCAGGATTTCGAAGCGGATCCAGCGGTTGCAACGAGGGCCCCCCTGGAGGCCCACAAAAAGGAGACGCAAGGGAAGGGTAGCGGTACGGTTCGGATGCAACTCCCGGGGGATCCAATTCTGACTTTGCCCTGGTCCGAAATCCGGCCCAATCCTGCTTATTCCCATTCCCGCTGGGTCTCGCTTGATCCTGCTTGATCGCCGCTTAATCCGCGGCCGAACACGGCGCAGTAGTCCCCCGCAATGAGCCTGAATCTTCTTCGATCATTCCGACGACAAACTCCCCGTAGTTGCCTCCTAGGGTATGGGTACCTTCTCAGGGCAGCGCTCTGGTAGCAGGTGCGGTCTCTTAGGAAGAAAAAACGGCATAAGCATAAACCGTTGGCGCTCGTCGCGGACTTCTTGGATCTGTGCTGGACCCCCCTCCCTGGCGCGCGGAGTACGCCAACGGCGGCGCCGCCGAGGGACCCAGCGCGGCTCCAAGAGATCCGCGCGGAACGCCACAAGCTTATGTTCATGCCGTGGTTTCTTTCTCGAGGTCCGACACCGGTCGCAGGGCCGGGCCGCCCCTGTCTGCAAGCCCGTCGCCGGCCAAAGCGCGGGCGTGCGCGTGGCGCGGGAATGTCGGCGCCCAGGGGCGGCGCGGGCGCGTGCTGCGCCCCGCTGCCTCTCTGCGGCTCTGTCTCTCCGTGCCGTCGCTCGGGCGTCAGTGCCCCGTGCATTCTGCGGTTTCGCGCGTGCTTCTTTTCGCTGGGTGATCCATAGGGGGACCAAAAGTCACCTCTAAACATAAAAACTCGGAGGTCCGCGCGGATTTCTCGGATCGGCGCTGGGGCCCCCCGGCGGCGCCTCTGGCGCCGCCCCTGGCGCGCTCCGCGCGCCAGGGAGGGGGGTCCAGGATGCTCCTCCCTGGTCCTCCCTGGTCCTTGCCGGGTGATCCAGGATGCTCCTCCGAGCGGTCCTCGTGGTCCTTTGCTGTTTCTTGTTGCTTATGTTTGTTTCTTTTTGCTTCTTTTTGCGTTTTTTTTTTTGCTGCTTCTGTTTGCTTTTTTTTGCTGGGTGGTCCTCGTTGGGAGAGCATGCCCACGCCCGAGCGATGCCAAGTCTCTCCGCGCATTCCCCTGCGCCGGGCCCCGCTGGCGCTCGCCTGGCTCTTCGGCCACCGGGCCGCCGGCGCGCGCATCCAGGAGCACCGTAGGCGCGCGCGTACGATATCAAAAATTTTCATGGTATAAGATTATGTTGCTCCCATCGTACTTAAGGACCACATGCCAAACATAATTTCGAGCTCCCAGAAAAGCATCGAACGAGTGTCGAGAGGGTGTCGAAACAAGGTCTCCCAGGGCCCGACACGTGAAAACCCTCGAGGTTTGGGGTGCGCTCGAACGTCTTTCTGGTGATCAAGGCTAAAGTAGGTTGGAACATCAGAAGTATAAGAGATATGATGGCACATCCTTCGTCGACTCTGAGCTACATCTGGGGGCACAGTGTGGGCGCGGCCGCAAGAAACCCTCGCAAGAAACCCAACCCTGAGAACCCGCGCGCGAGGTGCACTGAAGGGGAAACCCGGAGCACCCTGAACGCAGCAGCTCCTTCAACGACCGCGGGAAGTCGCCGCGCAGCGCGAGGAGCAAAGAAACCCAAGATGCCCTAACGAAAAGCATATGGTTTCTTGATGCGCGCCCCCACTGTACCGGGGGCACATACGCGCGACAAGAAACCTTCCTAGCACAAGAGATCCGAGGGCATGTCCTTCGTCGACTCTGAGCTCCGCGGGCCCGTCGGGGGGCGCGAAATCCCGGCGGGGAACCCGTGGGCGAGCCAGCTGCTTGCTGGTATGCCTGCGGTACCGCTCAGCCGCTCCACTGCACGGGGAAGTTGGTGACTCTGGGCGCAGCCCGCCGGGTGTGGCTGCCTGCCATTTGGTCCACTGGCGCGTCGGAGGAAGAGTGTCTGCGTGTCTGGCGCCACCTCTCACTATCGAATCCGCTACGGTGAGGGCAGTGCCGATCTCCTTCAGTCCGCGCAGGCGCGGACTTCCTTGCGTGAGTTCGCGTTCAACACCCGCGCTGGCTCACGACAACCGCGGCGCGCCCGCGGCGAGGGGGGGGCCGCGGCGCCGCCCGAGGGCGAGGGGGGGGGTTTGAGGTCAACCCCGAACCCCCTCCGATCGCGAATGGGCCAACGCCACGACTGCGGGCCGCGGCGCGGCCCGCACGCCGCCGCAGCGCCCCGCCCACGCCGCGCGGCCTCGCGTAACGGCCGCGGCTGCGCCCTCTGCGGCGGCAGAGGGCGCCTCGCCCCACGCCCGGGCGCCGGCCTCGCGCTTCCTGGGCAGACCCGCGAGCACGGTGGCCGCGGCCACGGCGGCCCGCTGGTCCAGCTGCGCCTCCGACGTCCCGCTGGGGAGCGGATCGGCGCTCCGCTGCGCTCCGGCGTCGGGCTCCGGCTGGACCGCCTCCACCTCTTGCAATGTCGCCGCCGTGGGCCGAGTGCTCGGCGTAGCCCTGCGGCGCCCCCAGCTCGTCGTGGCCCCAGCTCCTGCGGAGGCCCTCGCTGCCATGGATGCTACCGATCGGATTGCAGTCCGACTTCTCACTTCTCGCGGGCCGTCTCCTGGTCCGCCTTCGCCTTGGCGCGCGCCTCCGCGGCGACATGGACGCGCTGCGGGCCAACTCCTCGTCCGACCCCGAATGGGGCTCGCCGCCGACGTCCGTGGAAGAGCCGTCCCCGCCGTCGCTGCCGATCGCCGCCTCGAAGACGCCCCGAATGTCCTGGGCGAGGCCGACGTCTGGGTGGCCGGCCACGCTCCTGGCCTTGCTCAGCCAGCCGAGCCGAGCAGCCAGGAGGGCCCCAGGCGGCCCGCGATCACGACGCAGCGTCTTGGCTTCGGAGACGCCAAATTTCCCGTTGCGGACTGCGGCCTGCCCAGCCGCCAGGAAAACATCTCCGCAAATTCCTTTCAGGAGCGAGCCCTCGGCGCCGACGCTGTCAGCCAGCTCCGCAGCGGCAGAGCTGCTCCCTGCCCGTGCCGACCCCGCACGCCGCGGCGGCGACCAGCGTGGCGAGCGGCTTCGCCGAGCCGCCCGCCCGAATCGCCGCTGCGGCAGCGCCGAAAGCGCCAGCAGCAACGGGCCATCCCGCCGCGGTGAGGGCATCGAATAGGGAATTATTTTTTTTTTTAGGCAGCATAGAAGACCACTTCGTGAAATATTCACCTGCTCGTGATAAGTACGTATACTACACTCGAGAGCTGACAGTAGTGCCTCGCTGTCACGCCGCAGAGCGTGATCCCACAATGGGTAGTAATTAAATAGGGAACCGTTGGATAAGGCATCCAGGGTCTGGAAGCCAGGGGGACTCCAATCGTGGGCAGGCCATGAGTATCATTGCCGCCCCGAGCAAATAAGGAATCCTCCGGGGTCTGCGCCCTCCTGGGCACATTCCTTAATGAACGCCCCCACGGTACTGTCTTCGCTGAGACGGATCAGCCAACAAAGAAACAAACAATGTGTCAAACAACCGCCCACGGAATCCGTGCGGAACTCGGAGAGCGCAGATTTTCCGTGCAATTGTTCCGGGTGCCCCTGATGTCATGGCAAGGTCCCTCCGGCAGTCACCGCGACGAACAGCACGGTAGACCCTGCGCCCCTGCTCCCTCCCTCCCCGTCTCCTTCTCCTCCCACCTCTTGCTGCGTTGTCCCCCTGGCTCTGGCGCCTCGGAATGTACTCGATGGGTCACGCTCAACGGGTCCCCCCTTGGCCCCTTCCCCCGCTCAGGCTCCCTTCTCTCCCCCTCGAACGTCGGGGATCGGTGATCCAGATTCCGTGCCGTTTGTTGGTCCTCGGCGCCTCCCGGGGCTTCTGGAGGCCCCCAGGGCCGAAAGACTCCCGGACAACTCGAGAGACCACCTGGGACCCAAGGAGGGAGAAGGCCGCTCCCCCCCTGTCCACTTCTCCGACTCCCGTCCTCCCTCCTCCCTCCTCCCTCCCTCCTGCCCCTCCTCCTCCCTCTGCCCCTGCCCCTGCCTCTTCCTCTCCTCCTCCTCCTCCCCCTCCGCCTCCCCATGCCCCCCTCCCCTTCCTGATCCTCCTCCGCCTCCCGAGGGCGAGGCCGGCGGGGCCTGATGAGCAGCTCCCCGACGAAAAACGCGCAGAAAAAGTTCTCCACGACGATGAACGGGGTGTCCGCGTTCACGAGGAGGGCCTCTGCAGAGGCCCCGACCCCTGCCCCCCAAGGAGCAGCTCTGCGCCCCGTTTCCGATGGCCGCGGGGCCGGGCAACCGCCCCCGAGGGCAAAGCTCGAAGACGAGCGCCCCGGCTCAACAAGAAATAACGTGTCGCCGGAGATCCAGGGAACTGGAGGAGGAGGAGGAGGAGGAGGAGGAGGAGGAGGAGGAGGAGGAGTATGAACCAGTTGCGAATTCAAGTGCCGAAACCGATTAAAGCTGAGCTTTGAGTAGCCGCCGATGGTGGTCAGCCTCACTTAAGCTATTGGGGGCAAGCCCTTGGTCAATACGATTAGGATGCTCTCTGCCCGTGCGTGAGGGTTGGCCTGGGCACCATCTTCCCAGCCCACAAACCTGCTTATCAGCAACGGCCCCACACACGCCACAGAACCACAGACATAGAACAGTATGATAATTGAGAAAATAGGATGTGTGCAGCCAGGCCCCCGCTACATGGATCCTACCACCCACAGGTGGTAAGAAAAGAGTTCCGTGGACATTGACTAAGGTGGGACGCTGAGGACCACGATTCTTGAAACTTGGCAGCCGACGCGGGACCGAAACGTTGGGCACAACGACGTTTACACTCACTGAGCCAATGAGCCGAGAGCAAGGGAGCGAGAGCAGCAACAGCAGGGCGACGGGGAGCAGGGGGAGGCGGGGGAATCTCCTCTTTTTTCCACTCACGCTCCCGTTCGATCGCTTCCTTCTCGGCAGCGAAAGAATCGGGGGTCGCACGAAGCAGCCGGGTTCGCACAGACATAGCCTGACGCTCCACTAACAGAGCCTTCTGACGGGTAGTCTCAAGGATGCGGCAGGCATGGGCGGCAGCATCTGCAAGGGCGTCGGCCACACTATTGGCGCACACGAGGCTACTGCTTGCTCCTTTGATCAACCATATCAATTCGGTTAAATGGCTGCGAGGAGGAGGAGGACTAGGAGGAGAACGAGGAGGAGGAGGAGGAAGAGGAAGAGGGGGAGGAGGAGGAGCAGGAGGAGGAGGAGGAGGAAAAGCACATAACAAAACAACAAAATAACAAACAACGAACGGGAGCGGTCCCTGGACCAAACTACCGCCTAGGCATCATCCTCATCCTTCGACATGGGTAAGACCTCGAGGCCATTGAACTTGTGGCCGAAGGCGACTGTGCCAAACGGGGTGGGTCTCAGGCCGCTTCCCGCACCCAGAAGCTCGGCTCCACTGCGCAGGTGTCGGCCACGCCAAAGCTTACGCAAGCGGTCCCAAGCCACAAACCAACGCGGGCAGCTTCCGTTGCAATATTGACCGAGCTTTTCGGTGTGCTGTTCGCTGGAGGCGACACGGGCACTGCAGGACACAAAAGGGCCAATCGTCCAAAAGTGGAGGCCAGTGCCTGTCTTGCACGGGCTAGCTTCCAGGGTCTGAACGGCGTCGCCAGTCCTCAGGCACCTGAAGCACCTGAAGCCGCCCTTGGGGAGGAGGAGGAGGAGGGCGTGCTGAGCGTGCTGGCTACATTTGGGGGGATCCCCCCGCTCGCCACGTCGGGCGCCGTCACAGCGGAGACCGCCGAGCTCGCGAGCGCGCACGCGCCGACCGCGCGCCGCGCGAGAACATAATCCTCCTGCTCCTCCTCCTCCTCGTCGTCGCCCTCCTCATCTTCCTCCTCCTCTTCCTCCTCCTCCCGGCTGCTGATACACCTCTTATTCGTCCTCATACCCCTCTCTGCGCCCCGTCATCCTCATCCTCCTCCTCACCCTGCTCCTCGTTCTGTCGCCTCTTGTCTGTTGCTGCTCTCTCTCTCTCTCTCTCGTCTTTCTTTTCCCCAAAGAGGAGCAGGACGGTGATGTGAAAGGGGGTTGTCGGCGTTCACAACTAGGCCCTCCGAGGAGGAGTGACGAGAAGTGCATCGCCGCAAAAGGGGAAACGAAAGACAAGACGCTGCCAGATACGGCAGAGCAAGCGCCGACGTCGCATGGACTCCACGTGCATGTGGCGCTCTTGTAGTTGGCACTCGTGCATGCGGCTCGTGTTTTATTTTTTTTACGCGCGTCCCCCAAACGGTGTCGATCAAACGGCGGGCGGATGCAGCGCGCGTAGAAAAATGCGCAGAATGGGGGTTCAACAAACGTTCGACATGCGCGAGTTTGACGTGTGGTCGTCAGGTGTGTGAGTATCCGGGGGGATAGCATGGGATAGCCACCATGCGGCCGACGGGTTCTCGACGTTGCAAAATACGAGCGCAGAGGAAGGATCCAGCATGTGTTCGGCACCCTTGCGTTTGGTTGGGCCCGTGCGCACCCCTGGCTATACGGCAAAAAGCCTGCGGGTTCCTCACAGCGCGGCATACAACATGCGTGCGGCACGCGTGCAATTGGCACGTGCTTGACCGCATGTAGGCCCCAGGGGTGTATCCATCATGCGGCTGGCGGATTCTGGACACATACACATGCGCGCGCGGAGGAGAGGGTACCCAACATGCCTCTGGCAGGTATGCCTTCGGCACGTGCTTTCGTGTGTGTAGGCGCGTTGCGGCAGCCGCTTGGCGTGGAACGGGCGGTTGGAGCGCCACGCCGCGTCGCCACCCCGGAGATGGGCGATGCGGTGTTGCGGGGAAGAGGAGGGCGAAAAGAAGGAGGAGCAGGAGGGAGCACGAGCCAGGTGGAGGAGAGGAGGCAGATGAAGAAGAGGGGGAACGAAGATGGGGGAGGCAGAAACGTACATAGGGGGAGGCTGAAAAAAGGTGCAGGAGGAGGAGGAGGAAGAGGAGGGAAGAGCAGGAATAGGAGGAGGAGGATGATGAGGAGGAGGAATATGACAGGGATAAACCTGTATACACATGAAAACACACCATCTTATATGGCAGCCGTGCGCTACATCGTATAACGCGTGGCAACACATGGGGCCCACAGCGCACAACACAACGTATCATGTAACACTGTAAGCTAACATGACAGATACCGCGCATGGACGGCATCCCAAAACAGACGTTGGCTGAAGTTCCTGACTGGATTTGCGTCTCTGACACTTACCATCGTTCTACCAGGCAGCGGGCATCGAGGTGACTCAGGGACTTCTTAATCAGGCTAGCAGTACTTTAGTTTGTGTCTTGCGAAGTTAGCGTTCTCAGCAAGCTCGAAGACCGAACCCTTCTGCTGATCGCGCTTCTGGTCCTGCTCTTGCTGCTCCTCACTCCTCCCCCTTCTTATTATCCGTCCGCCCTCCTTCTCGGCCCTCCTCCTTCTCCTGAGACTATACATGCTAGCGGCCCCTTCCTCCCCTTGCTCCTCCTGTTCCTCCTCCCCACATGGTCGTGATCTTTCCCCTTCTATTCCTTCACTGCCTCCCCTTCCCCTTTCGCGCCCCCTTCTCCCCCTCCCGCACCGTAGCCCGGCAAAGGAACTCTTCCGCCAGACCGCCTGCCAATTTCTTCGACGACCGTCACGCTGCGACCAAAAAGGAGCGCCAGCTACATAACGAAGCCCCTTGCTGCCCCCCGAGCAGCGCCAGGAGGCACGCGGAGCGCTTGAGGAGCAACCGTGGAGCGACTGGAGTAAGGACCACCGAGACCCGTACTCCGAGCCCGAACTGATCCTTCCCCCCAGCGTCTTGACTGCACGGTGCGCGGGGATCTCTTCACCGATGTACTCTGCTCGAGCTGCCTCTCTGCGGCCCCGCGCGCCTCTTCCGACTCGGGGCGCGCCTGGGGCAGAGGGCCGCTCGCGCGAAGCGTGGCCGCCCCCCTCGTCTTGCCTTCCCTCCGTTCTTCGGCCTGCTCCTCGGGGGCAGGCGGCCGTCCTGGTCCCAGCCCCCTCCTTCCTCTCGAGCAGCAGGCACGCTCTGTCGCGCGGCCGCGCACCCTGAATTTCCCCGGGACGGCGGCGACCAGGCAGGCCCCCTCTTCCCCTCCTCCTTCTCCTCGCGCAGCAGGGCCACGTACCGTGAGCGACAGCGGTGGAAGGGGCCTCTCCAACCAGCGCGTGGGCCGTGCAGACACTGTGCGCGCTGCGCGTCGCTTTTCGGGGGGGGGGGGGGGCGATATAGATGCACTTGCGGGCTCGAAAGGCTCCCTTCTGGGCCCTCACGGGCCCTCTCAGGAGTCCGAAAGGGCTCCTGTTCTGCAGCCCTCGCTGCCCTCTCCCCATTTTGTGGCCCCCCCATTAGGCCACGCCCAAGCGCACGAAGTGGCAAGGGGTGCCGGCTTGGGGGGCAGGCTGGCGTGGAAAACTGTAGCACATGCCATCAGTTCCCGTATCGGTTCTCTCACGTCGCACGTTGCTGGAATCAGCTCGTGCGACACGAGGTCAAAGGTCCCGCCGTGGTCTATCGTGCCCAGGGACGGCCTGGGTGGCGGTGCCTGGCCAGCGAGGGCATCGGGGTACGCTCCAAGATGAGTTTCGCTGAATCCTCTTCCTCCTCCTCCCTCCTCCCACTTCCCTCAGCAGGACCTCCCGCTCCTCTTCCCCAGCCTGCCATCGTGTTACCTTGATCCTCCTTTTCCTGTTCACTCCCTGCTTCCATTCCGCCATCCCCATCCTCCCTCTCCTCCTCTCCATCCCCCCCCTCTGGATCCCCCTCCTTCTTCTCCTCCTCCTCCTCCTCCTCCTCCTTTTCCTCCTCGTCCTCCTATCCTCCACACTGTTCTCCTCTTCATCCTCCTCCTCCGTCTGCGCTTCTGAATTTGTGATCGTTAGTATCTCCTTGTTGTTATCTTTGTGTTATGCTTCTCTCTCTCTCTCTCGTTCTCTCCCTCTCCCTCTTTGTATGTATATGTAGGTGTATCAATATGCACACTGTCTATATTTCTTGTATACGATGTTCTATGTCGCTCCTCCTCTTTCGACAGGGGTGCTGCGCGAGACAAGGAGAGGCCTCGTCGTTGTAGTCCGTCTCCACCGCAAGCCACCTTGGGCGGCAATTATCTTGTGTGGGGACGTGGTCGGGCCCAAATGCCTATCACGCGGAATCCGCCTGGGCCTCTGCAGCTCCGTCGAGCGCCGCGGTATACCACAAACTCGGACGCCCCGAGCGTCCCAACCGCCCGCGAAGAGTTCCATGCATCCCAATCCTGCCTGCTACTGCTGCAGCAACAACTGCTGCTGGTACTACCGCTGCTACTACGGCGACGGCCACGGCTACATCTGCGACTGCTAACACAACACTGCCACTTCCACCACGACCACTGCCAGCGCCACCTAAACCACGGCCGCGATCAGACCACAACCACGGCTACTACATATGTTGCTAGTGCTGCTCCTTGGACTGCTACTGGTATTTAGTGCTGCTGCCGCTGATTTGGCTATACTGCCACAACAACCTCAGCCACTACTACACGTGCACATGACTGCTTCAGCTATGACTAGCGCTCCTGCCACTACCAATGACCAACGCCATTGCCGCTACCATCACAATGGCCCCTGCAACGATCACATCCACTAGACGCAACCATTACAACATGTGCTGCGACTGCCGCCTGTACTGCCAGCCGCAGGCGGATGAGGGAGATGGTCAACAGAGCACCCGGCACTGAAGTCGCAGCTCCCCGCGTGGCATATCCATCGACGGCTTCCAGAGTGAAGACGAGGGCCTGGCGAAGCCCCGCCGTGATGTCCTCGGCAATGTTCCTACAATGTCCAGCTGGGATCCGATCGAGACGGGGATGCAGTCGAGCGGCAATCAGGGGACTCCAAAGTAATTGCGCGATGGAAGGAAGGAGGGCGAGGAAGAGATGGAAGCGGGGAGGAGGAGGAGGAGGAGGGGAGGGGGGACCACGAGCAGGCAGGAATAATGAAAGGAGGAGGAGGAGGACCTAGCACCCTGCAACGTATCCTTGCTACTACAAAGGTCTGGCCCCCTTTGCGCCCGGAGTACTTCACAACGGAGGCTTTACCACAGGAGACGGCACCCTACCAACCATCGGGAAGGCCGATGACCAGACGCCGGGCAAGCTAATCAAGGCTTCTGAAGGAGCACCGGGCCAAGGGCAGGGAGGGGAGAGCCACTCGGCCACTCCTCCCTCCCTCCCTCACTGCTGCTGCTGCTGCCTCCCCCTTCTCCCTTCCCGCCTCCTCCTTCTCTCGTTATCCTCCTCCTCATGTTTCTCCTCCTCCTCCTCCTCATCTTTCTTTTCCTCCTCCTCTTTCATCTTTCTCCTCGTCCCCATCCCTGCTCCCTCCTCCAGGACTGCTACGACTGCGTGAACGCGGTGGGCTACCTCGTGAGACAGAATCAATCGCCGAAATATCGTTCCAAGCCGCCCAAGATGGCCTCCACACGGCTCAAGATGCTTCCAAGATGCCCCAAGGGGCCTCTAACAGCCTCCCCCAGAGGACCGTCAGAAGCCAAACTCGTCCCATTCCCTTAGGGAAACGCATATTTTTAGCAGAATCGCCTCTGGGGCTTTCACTACGTCCTAGACGGGCCAACAAGCCCCCACGAGGGCTCCAGGACGGCCCAAGATAGCCCCAAGACGGCCAAAGACGGCCAAAGAAACCCCCAAGTGGGCCGAAGAAGGCCCCAGGACGGCCCCCAGAAAGGGCCCAGAAGCGGAACCCGACCAGAAATTTCGACCCGTCGGCCAAAACGCTCTCCAAGAAGCTCCAAGGGGCCCCCCGGGAATCCCAAGAGATCCCCCCAAAGGCCCCCAAGACCTTCCCAGGAAACCCCTGAGGCCCAAAAGCTGGCTCCAACACGCCCCCAAGATCCCTCCCACGAGACCCATAAGCCATTCGAGTGGCCTCAAACCCACAACTCCGTTCGCGGTCCGGGTACCCGCACACTGCCTCCAATGAACGTTCTGCGGGTGCCCGGATCGTCCCGAACGGCCTCCGGAGGCCTAAGCTCACGCCCGCAAACCAGGTCCTAACTTTTCCTCCTCCACCTTTGTTCTCCTCCTCCTCCTCCTCCTCCTCTTCTACCCCTTCCTCCTTCCTCCTCCACCTCCACATGCCCCTCCTCCTGTTCGCCCCTGCGGCCCCGAGCATCAGCACAAGAAGGCCCCAGGACAGCAATAGAAGGACCCCGACTAGATCAAGCAGTCGGCGGATGTGGAGTAAGCCTATAGAATCCACGTCAGGAGGTGACCTGCTGAGCGGCAGCGTTTTCCGGCGAACGCCTTAATGCAACGTGTCCAATGTTTCCGATGATTGCCTAATTGCTACATGTTGTAATGTGTTACATTCAAATGTTTCCCCCCTAATCCCCCCCAGGGGCCACGCCACATCCACGGACCCAAAGATGGTGGACCTCTTCTGGGCTTCAAAAACCCCCAAACCGATGGAAAATCTAAGATTTGGCCTCGAACCTCGAAATGACTCACGATGGGCTCTAGACGGCCCACGACGGCCCCGAGACGACCCAAGATGGCCCCAAGAGGGCCCAAAAAGCGCCCGAGACGAAGGATTTTCGCGTTCTCGCTATTTTCGACTCCTGAAGACCCAAGCAGCCTCCAAAATCGCCCCATGACGGCTCAAGAAGCGCCCGAGAGGACCCCAAGACGGCCCCAACGGCCCAAAGAGGTCCCCAAGACGGCTCAACGAGCCCACGAGACGGCCCAAAAGGACTCCAAGCCAAGAGAGCCCCCAGGCGGCCGCGAGAGGCCCCCAATACTGCCTCCGCAAGGGCCAAACAAACAGCGCAACCGCGTCCAATACGGCTCAAGACGCCCCCAAGAAGCCCAAAGAGACCCCGAAGGAGTCCCAAGAGGCCCCAAGAAGCCTCCAAGAAGCTTCCAGGAGGCCCCCTAAGAGGCCGCCAAAGGTGCCAGACGGCGACAGAGCGCCCCAAAACGGCCCAAGACGCCCCCACGAGACTCCCGAGAACCCCCAAAACGACTTGACTGTACGTAGTGCACTCCGCGAAGCGAGGAGAAATCCACGTCCAGAGGTGGCGTGTTGCCAGAGGCAGGTCCGCGGATGCTATGACGTAAAGTTCCGGCGAACGCCTCATCGTACAAGGTATATCTATATGGTATTGGTTTGCAGAATTATGTTTCCCCCTTACCACCCCCAAGCGCTACGCCACACCCGTCGACCAAGGGTGGAGACCCCCCTCCCGTGGCTCAAATACTTCTGGAGAGTCAAAGATGTGGGCCTGTTGGCCCTGTTGGGGGCCCAACAGGGCCTCAAGACGGCTCCAGATGGCCCCACGGCGGCCCAAGACGGCCCCAACATAGCCCCAAATGGTTCCGAGAGGGCCAAGAAGCTCCCAAGACGCCCCGAGAGGGCCCCAAAAGGACCCTCGAGAGCGCCTCCAAAGGCCAAAATCATCGATTCCCCATCGGGTTTTGACGAATTTTGACGCTCTCGCCTGTTTCGATTCTCGGAGGCCCAGGACGGCTGAACCAGCCTCCCAAATGGCCCCAAGACGGCCCAAAAAGCCCTCAAGAGGGCCCCAAGACGGCCCAAGAGGGCCCCAAGACGGCCCAAAGAGGCACAAGACGGGCCCCCAGAGCCCAGAGGAGCCCCAATAGTGCCTCCGCAGACCCCAGTCATTGATTTTCTGAAATGGTTTTGAAGGATTTTCGCGTTCTCGCTTTTTTCAACGCCTGACGACCCAAGCAGCCTCCAAAATCGCCCCATGACTGCTCAAGAAACGCCCGAGAGGACCCCAAGACGGCCCCAGAGGGCCCCAAGACGGCCCAGAGAGGTCTTCAAGGGGCCCCCAAGACGGCCGAAGAGGACCCAAGAGAGCCCCCAGGCGGCCGCGAGAGGCCCCAAATACGGCTTCCGCAGGGGCCAAGCGGCGCAATCGCGCCCAATACGGCTCAAGATGCCCCCACGAGACTCCCGAGAACCCCAAAAACGACCTGACTCTACGTACTCCGGACGTGCACCCCGCGAAGCGAGCGGAATCAATCGAGAGAGCGGCAATGCAGGCGATCGTCGGGGACCTGTCGATGACCATGCAAGAGAGAGAGAGAACCGACAATAACCAATACAGAAAAGGATACATAATGCCAGAAAGACAGGGAAGACATCGAGGAGCTAGTTAAGAAGTCGTTGCACCTGCTGACGCGTGACCCACGACATTGGAGTTGCGGAAACTGCGGGCGGCCGCAGTCGGCCTTCAGCGGGCGCGTCCGCCAAACACGCGGCCCGGGCGGACGCCTGGGCAGCTCGAGAGGCCACCGCCGCGGGGAGACCGAGCAACGAAGAGAAAGGGTGGCAGGGGCGCCGTTGCTGCGCGAGCCAGCGGCGCGGGCTCTGCGGTTCCGTCGGTCGGGGCACCACGCTGCGCGAGCCCCCCTGCTCCCGCCTGTCCGCCAACTTGCGCATGTTCAGCGTGGTCGTCTTCGGCAACGGCATCCCGGCAAAGCCACGCTGCGAATGACGACGCGCAATGCGCTGTGTTGTGCTGTGTGCCATGTCACCTAAAAGGGCGACATGGTCCGCTAGCATGTCTGTGCCAATAAGGCCGACGTCGACCATCCTAATTTTCTTGAGCTGGGACCGCCCGTCCCAGCATTCCTATAGGCTTACCACGACATGTTCTGAGACACAAGCAATGTTCTTAGAAGCTTATCCTGTTGTACTCAAACAAGACAGCTTCAGCTATGAAAGGAATATTCCGATCATATCTCGCGCAGACCAGAAATGGTTATTGGAACATTCTTGGGTGGGCCTAGAGACAAGCCGTGACGCTTCGCCACTGCTCGACTTCCGAAGACACTCACGTGGATCGCCACGACATCACCATTTGCGGCAGGTTCGTGTCGTGTCGACCCGGGCGTTGGTTCCTGACACCGTGAGGATCGTCGATCGGCCGCCTCCGAAACGTCCGATCGTTCAACGTCGACCGACTCTGGGCCGCCACCGGCCTTCAACGTCGAACGCCGGCGGCGGAGTCGCCGCCGGTCGACACGGCGCGAACCCACCGTGCGCCTGTGCAGTTTCCGCTCCGGGGCGA